ACACCAAAAAAATGCAAATGAAGATAAGAGTGAAATGAATAGAATGCATGAGTGTTATTTTATACCACTGTCTGTGATTTATTCTAGCTATTGTGACATAGTGACATATTCGAGCTTTATCACTGCAGCCCCTAAACACGCGTCCTGGCCAAGCAATCTAGTCGTTCAAACAACACACCATGATGTTGTTGCATGAACGCCCACAGTCAGCCTGGCTTCACATAGAGACCAATCCTTGTAATCCATCTTACAATAGGTATGGGGTAATAAGATGTAGTTAATGTAGTGTATAAGTGATATTTAGCTGAGTGAGAACATTTAAGGCTGATTGAATAAGTGACTATCCGAGTATATAAACTGTTTCAATTTACGACACTTGGTTGTGTGTGAAAAGTGGCAATCCGAGTATATAAACTGTTTCAATTTAAGGCACTTAGTTGAGTGGGTGGGAGTGAATTTAGTTATACACGCACTCAGCAATATTAAAGTGGTGATCCAAGTATATAAACTGTTTCAATTTCAGATACATGTTGTGTTTGTAGAGAACATGTGGCACAAAGTAAGGAAATCTCCTAAAATATTTTAAAGTTGACTCATTAAACAAATTCCAGTGAATAGGGTATTCTAAAGAATTTGCTAATTGTTTCTGAGAAAAGTTACCCAACATAACACAATTGTGGAAATCCTTTTCCCTCACACTCACAAAGGCTGCATACTACTTCCTTTTTGTTTGAGGAATAGTTACAGTAAACTACATTTAAAACGAACTGACGAATATCATACTTTTCCTACTTATGGTATATTTTTGTCAAAATGTGAATAATAAACTATTGTTCTGATGAAATAAAAATAGGGTTCCCTTTGAGTTTTTTATAACCCTGTTTACTGTGCAAACAGCTAGACACACTACTAGTGTGTCTTACACTCCCTAAACTGCATTACTTCCCCTTTTGCCCAACCCTTTCTGCAATGTTAAAGCCTAAATGAAGCCTAGAAAGTCTAGATTTTCTCTGAATCTCCCATGTCAATTGACCTGTGAAGATCCGGGTTAAAATTAATCTTCAGTAAACCGTGCTTGGTAAGAGGCAACTAACGGGATCAGGTGGTCAGGCTCGCTGACTTACTTGACACATGTCATGCATCCCAATAGGTCGATGCTCATGCTGTCGATCACTGGATTGTCTGGTCCAGACTCAATTATTTACATATTAGCTGCAATATTGCTGAGAGTGACGTTAGACAACAAACCAACCAACCCTTGTTACTGAGGCTCCTTATCAATTTAAATGGTATTATTTGTTTCTTTAAAATTATATATACTGAGGGGAAAAAATAAGGTATCACATGAAAGGAAAAGTTTTATTTTATTTTTTTCCCAGGTTTCTTCACAAGCTTTGTATCACACAACTTGATAAGAAACCTGGAAAAAAATAAAGGAACACTTATAATTGTGATTTCATGTGATCCCTTATTTTTTCCCCTCAGTATATTTTCAGAGACAAGGTATTAGTCTAACTGACTACTTCTGACTTCAGACTATAACCATATCTTTGTACTGCATTACTGGAACTGAGAGTGGGAGCACTGGGACAAAAACCTTTCAAGGAATTTTGAATAAAAAAACATTTAATGATTACCAAAGTTGTGTGAAAAATGCTTCCATGTTGAAGAAGGAATAACTTGCACATCTTGCCACCTTCACATTCATGAGGCCTTGTTTGTGTTGACCCCACTGTGCCCCATGCATAAAGCAGAGATTACTTCAACAAGACGTGACCACCCACACAACCAGTGTTACCACCTGAATGCATTACACTGCCCAGACTGCCTCAGACAATACAAGCTACTTGACCCATGTCTTGAATAAATATTTTGAATTACTCTGTTGCAAAGCATTAAGGCTGATATGACTTCCAGTGATTGTAGTTAACAAGATGGAGTAGATGGAGTAGCGACAGAAACAAGGGGTCCTTGTCTTTCAAAAGTCTAAATTTTGGGATCCATAGATTCAATGGTAAAATACAGAACAGTGTCAGAATCTCGGACATTCAGTCTCAGAAATAAAGTTAATAAGAAAGAAATCTTTATTAAAAAATATTAAAATATATATCTAAGAAAGAATATAAACATTTCAAAAGGAGCCCAGAACAACCCTTAAATACAGGTCTAGAGTATATTTTGCCCACTCTTCCTGGACTGAGTTGGACTCCTTTGTTGTTTTGATCTCTTGGTCTGGAGACAGACAATGTCAGTATGTGTCCAGGAGCTTATCATTTGTAATATATTTGGTGACGGCTTTGGTGAGGGTGGTGTGTTCTTTATGTTGAACTGTTGGTTACATTTTTTCTGTGCTTATTTTTAGTCAGCAGCTTTATTACAAGTGCTTAGATACTCTTGGCTTAGTATCACTGACGCTGGACAATACGTATATCCACCTTGACAACAACACAAATGTCAGTTTCTGGCAGAAACTGGTCAGTTTACTCACACGAACCTGTATCTTGAGATCCTTTACTTCGATTTATTGGATGGAATTTTTCTTGCAAGTTTTCTGAACCGAAATAGTTTTTGTAAACTTGGGTTATGAACCAGTGGTTAAAGACAGTTATGTTTCATGTTTGAAATAGTGTGCTATCTGTAACTTTTCTTTTTTTTAAAAAACCTTCAAGTCACAATTTTGTCAAATGGTCAATAATTTGGGGTTGGGTTGGGGTTGGGTATGTGGTGGGTTTTGCCCCCTGAAATATCAGAACTACATAACTTTCAGTCACAGAATTTAATACAAGCCGATAACACTTTTGATTATCAGAAGGAGGTTTTAATATGAAGTCAAAGATTTTCTCGGCGCTATTACTTCTGTCACATATATTTCAGAAGTTATAAACTTAAGGCATACATAAATGTTTTCCTATCCTGTATGATGTAATTAGGTTGTGTATTTTTAAAGATATCTGTGACTAAGGTCCTCCATTTACTGTTATGTCACCACTTCAGCTCAGAATTCACTGAGTCACTGTATCCTAATTAACACAACTATGACATTACAAGGCTCATTTGCCACTCAAACATGATTGGAAAGTAATTCACGTTACCAATTGCTTTGATAGCTATAGGAACAACTATTAATGGAAGTGTCATTAACATCATGGCCACGAATATCTCTCACTCTCCATGTGCTTGAATGTATATATTGCGGTCATACTGAGAATCATTATAGGACAACAACCATCTTGACAATTATTCACAGAATCACTGCTACAGTTCATCTGGTATGCCATTTTGCCATTGCCAGGGAGAACCCATAGTATAATTGAGTATATAAATAATATGCTTACCCTTGTCATGCACACCTGGTGTCATCACTGATTGTTGGTGATCCATTGACATAATTTCACAGCTATTTTGCCTGTTAGGCAGCGTTCAAAATTAAGGTCGGTCCTTAGGCCCGAAGCCGAAAACCACTCGGACCCACAGCTTTTGTTTTCTGCAGGTCCTTATGGTTGACAGCTTTTTCATCCCCAATAACTAAGAGCATTACTTTTCAGAAAATATCATTCAATAATTTCTAGTTTTTATTTCAATCAGCAGCTGTTGTCTGTAAGTGAAACTTTGTTTGTTAGTTGTCACAGTTTTTGTTTGCTGGGAATTACTTATATTGTAGCTAAAATATAGGGCCTACACATTCTGATCAACACCCACAACTTTTATGGTTCTGGGTCCTTGGGCCTGCAGTTTTTCAGGTTTAAGTGCAAACACTGCTGTTAGGCCCAGTGGAATGTGTTTTGTTTGATACTGGAGGCTAGTTATTCAATGGCGTTGATGCTGTAAATCAATTTGGATGCATTCTCTTTATTGTCAAATTGCAACATCTTTACTTGAATGCTCATCAATTGATACATTCCTGGTAAAGGAAACAGCATCTGCACCAGACTGCGTTGTAACAATGAGGAAGAAATCCTATCCATCCTGCCTTTGTTCTTTTCTGAACCTGGCACAAAATATTACACTATTTGCTCTAGCTCATCTTACAGATCTGGACTAAACTTTCCTCACACAATTTTGATCACTGGATTGTCGGTCCAGACTCGATTATTTACAGACCGCCGTCATACAGCTTGAGTATTGCTGAGTGTTGCGTAAAACTAAACTCACTCACTCACTCCTCACACCACTTAGATATGCTGACAACAGGTCCTGTTCTCATGTAAGGCACACACTGTACTTGTTCAATATCTGAAATGTCACAGCATGTAATAGACTAACCTTAACCGGAGCAAGTTTACACATACTAAAACATTTTTTGTCACGTGTCATGTGTCAAAGACTTGCCAAGTGCAAATAGCTTTTAATACCAATAGTAGTTGATATAAACAAGAGGCATTAATATAGACCTAGTTCGGCCTGTTTGCCAATCCTTTCTGTTGGCTCTGTATTGTTTTTCTAATGTATTGTCTTTATTTTGAATAAATACTGTTTAAACCATATCAAGACTTTCAACTCATTGTTTTGGTCATGTGTAAGTGTTATATCAAGTTTTGCATTATAACAAGCATGCATCATGTAGCATAACATCGGCACATTTTGATCTTACCAATAAAGTACATGACAAATGGAGAGTTAATAGATAGTATTTGAAAAGTTGTTTTGTGGAAGAGCTTCACAGGAGCAAAAACTAGCTAATTTGTTTTGAAACGTTTGGATTCTTTCCAACTTTAGTCATCTGAACTAATATGCTCAGTGAGTGACAATATGGTTTTATGCTGCTTCTAGCAATATTCCTGCAATATCACATGTGGATAGAAGAAATGGGCTTCACACATTGTACCCATGTGGGGAATTGAACCCAGGTCTTCGGCTTGATCAACGAACACTTTAACCACTGGGCTACCCTACTGACACCCTCCTATGAAGCCTTCTATCACCAACCAACAGATCAAGGTTGACACTTCCACAAAACATCTTACTTCTGTATTACAACAGATGAATAAAGTCATACTTACTTATTAAGTGCTAAATCAAGTATAAAACTCCTGTTAAAGGCGGTGAATAAAACTGTTATACTGTCTAGATGTTTTCCCTGAAAAAGATGAAAAGACATTTAATAATTACAGCAATATTATGTCATGACAATTTACAAGCATTGAGCATCATTTTAGACAAGCAAATTTGTTAAAAATTGCCTCTGTTCACCCAGCAGAAAATGGGTACCTGGTGGGGTAAGTCATGTGACTATTAACCTTCTAGCACACCTCAGGCAGCTTAGGTTATATGGGGTATTAATAATCAGATTGATTTCAGCGTCCAGTGAGCAACTAGACAGGTAGATACTAGGCACTATATAATGAATTATTATTAGTAGCAGCAGTTGTACAATCAATTTTCTGGAACAAGATATTGATTGTGCTGTTAAGTAGCTGCGAGTTTGGTTTTAGCAAACGTAAAATAATCTTGCATCCTTTCATACCGGAGTCTAATGTCATGGTTTCTATGTACACATTATCTAGAACATCAAAGGGTTTAAGCCTTTCATTTTAAGTTAGTTCACAAAAATAAACCAACATAATAAACTGATTGGAAGAAAAACACACATGATGGTTTCACAATTAGGAAATTAGCATGAACGTGACATAACTAATAGCAGGTCTAAGGATGAAGCCATTAATTACTGTTTATAAACCAATGACTCCTGAAGTACTCTAAGGTCGGCAATCAAATTCAGGTTGTGTACTCTGTAGCGTCAACTGTTTATTGATGAATACATACAGACATGGAACCAGCTGAAACCAATGTGAATCCCCTGACTTCCTGCACTATCAACTCTTTACATTGCCAGGCTTCAACCCTTTTTTCAATCATTACTGGTGCTTAATTTTTTTTAAATGAAATTCATCCACATTTAATTTTGGGCCACACATTTGAAAACTTTAACAACCATGTACAAAAAATTAAAAAATCAGAGGCCTTAGGGGGGCTTCACACTACATCCGATTTTTCTTGCGTTGCATCCCCCAAAACACATTAAGTTATTTAATCATATGTCATTCACATTACGTCCGAATTGTGAATGCGTTGCGATGTGATGAAATGAAAATAGGTCCTGCACCTATATTTGACGCATCGCATTGGAAAACGCATGGGAATTCCTTTGATGACGTATATATTTACACGTGCTCAAGGGTGTTTCCCCCACCTTGTGGCTGCAATCAGGTACGTACTCTCTTCTCTATATTGGCGTTTCCATTGATATCAGAGCATTTCATTTGATACACTTAGTGAATAAATATATAGTTGAAAGTGTTATGTTTTCAGACATCATGAGTGTGAAGAAATCTCATAAACATGGTTGGAAAAAACCCTGCTCTTTATGACAAGAGGAGTAAGGATTATCGTGAGTGAGTGAGTTTAGTTTTACGCCGCTCTCAGCAATATTCCAGCTATATGGCGGCGGTCTGTAAATAATCGAGTCTGGACCAAACAATCCTGTGATCAACAGCATGAGCATCGATCTACGCAATTGGGAACCGATGACATATGTCAACCAAGTCAGCGAGCCTGACCAACCGATCCACTTAGTCGCCTCTTACGACAAGCATGGGTTACTGAAGGCACATTCTAACCCGGACCTTCACGGGTAGTAAGGGGTATCGAGATATTGAGATATTTCAGCTGTGTAGCCAGCAGCACAAGTCAACATAGAACTACTTAATTGTGAATATTGGGACATTCATGTATTAAATATTTATGGGTAAATTATTTTTGTAGCTGCAAATCTCTTTGTATGTGTTTCATTATCTACAGAGGCTTATCAATATAAGCCTGATTAACATGTAGAATTTGAACTGAAACCATTTCAAGAACTGGTTTTGTTAAATTGTCTCTTTGAAGAATTGAGAGATTCTCTTCATGTTTTTAACATGAACAAAATATTCTGAGATTCAAACCACTAAACTGGGAGTTTCAGATAATCTTGTAAGTGATTAATGTTTCTTGAGGCCACTGTATGATACTGTATCATCATACGTATCAAATTATTGGCCATGTATTATGGTACACACATCATACAGGACCCTAGATGCAAGCATGAAATCAACTGCTGAGAGTTCCCGTGACCTACTTATATTACATCACTTCCAAACACAGGATACCCTTGGATCTGCATAATGTACAAACCCTTGTTCTGAATGATGAAGAAACGCCAAGCAATGTTTCCTCTCCTTGACCTCATTCCCATAACACAACGCCATGATATAACAACTCTCAATCAAGTACTAATATCCTCTCCACCATTCACAGACATCAGGGCAAATAATGGGGAACAAGGCTCACTCTAATCCCTCTCACAGTCCCTCATCCGCATTATTGTCCCTTCCACCTAGCCCCTTCTACAACCCTAAAGCCCTAAATGAAGCAAGTCTAGATTTCCCCTGAATCTCCAATCTCAGAGGGGCTCTTTTTCAGTTTAAATGGAATTATTTGTCTCTATCAAAATCATACATTCAGAGACTTAGTATGTCATACAGACCCTGAAATAAATATATCCAAGAAAGCCCATGCAAGTCTAGAATATGTAGTAAGTCTAGATATCCACAGTCTTATTCTGAAAATGAAGAAAGTCTCTGGGCTCTATAGAACAAACTTTATGGATAACAACTTCTTTTTATTCGTGAGTGCGACGTTTCGATACAGATTCTTGTACCGTTGTCAAGAATAAGTTGTTATCCATAAAGTTTGTTCTATATTGTACTTCCCAACTTCTAAAATGCCACTCAAAGAAGTTGTCTCTGGGCTCCTTTTCATTATATTATATGATTACTTTTTAGGAACATTTTTCACATACTAGATGTTAGTCTATCAGAGATAGTCCATCAGTACAGACCCTGAAGCAAATATATCCAAGAAAGCCCACGCAAGTCTAGAAAATGAGGCAAGTCTAGATTTCCTCAGCTTCTGAAAATGAAGAAAGTCTCAGGGCTTCTTTTCATTATATTATATTTTTTTTTACTATGAACTTTTTTCAGTAAAATATGTTCATTTCAAAGACTAGTTGTTAGTCTATATCAGAGACTAAGCATTGGGTCCCAGTAATCCATGCAGGTTGTAGGGGATGGCAAGTCTAGATTTCCGCAGGTTCCTGAAGCTCCAGTACAGTTTGCAGTAAAAAGTCCCTATCCCGCATAATCTTGTATTGTAATAAAACTGTCAGCAAATCAGTAAACTGTGGACATCAGACATTCTACAGTTCTTCACACACTGCCATAAAGTAGTGTAATTTTACTATGAAAATCTAATTAGGTGCCTGCCATAAGAAGAACTGAGTTTACCTCACAAACACTGTACTGTCTTAAATATCTGCTATCTGGACAAAATTGACCGGCTAACTAATTGACTGTGAGGGACACTGGCTATAAACATGACAGAGTTATGCTATGGAAGAACTGAAGCAGGCATATCCCATCACTGAGGTTTCTTAATACTTCCTGCAACACAGGAGTATATCAGGTCCTGGCAGACAGATCACACAATGTAACCATCAGATCACCACTGGTGTCAGTCTCACAGTCCCTGAACCACATTATTTTCACTTCCCCTTTGCCTTTTCTGGAACACTGAAGCCCCAAATGAAGCAAGTCTAGATTTCCTCAAGTTCTGAATCTCCCATCTCACTGGGGCTCCTTTTCAATTTCAAAGGAATTGTTTGTTTCTTTCAATTCTATTTTATTCGGAGACTAAGCATTAGGCTAGAGTAGACTCATGTGGGGATTCCAGGTTAGAATAGGTACTCCATAACCTATCCTTGTCATATAGAGTGAGTGAGTGAGTGAGTTTTGGTTTTACGCCGCTTTTAGCAATATTCCAGCAATATCACGGCGGGGGACACCAGAAATGGGCTTCACACATTGTACCCATGTGGGGAATCAAACCGGGTCTTCGGCGTGACGAGCGACGCTTTAACCACTACGCTGCCCCACCGCCCCTGTCATATAGAGTGACTTATTGAATCAGGTGGTTCAGCAGGGTGATTTGGTTGACTGCAAGGCGTCATACCCTGGCAATATGGGATGTTCCTCATTTTACCAATGTCTGGTCCATCTGGTAGAGACCACCATCATGGAGCTGGAATATTGCTGGGCTTAGCATTTAACAGGAAACAAACAAACAAATTATTTAAGTAGGCACTTAGAACAACATTAGCTACTTGCGACCTATTCTGCCATGACTTTGCCTGAAGTAATTGACTTCTGTATTTGTAAGGCAAATATTGTGGGATGTTTTGAAGGAATAACTAGATTAAATCCTACAAAACAAATAGCTGAATATCTGCATTTAATTCAGTCAAAAACAAAGTGGCTGACTGTATGAAATGTTTCTAGAAGAGAGAACTGTGCTCTTTAATTCAGGATTTCATAGACTTAATGATAGTTTAAAAATATACTTGCATCCTCATTGTAAGACTATACATTAATAAACAAGTATCAACCAAACCATGTCTGACCCTGCTTTAATAAACTTCCAGCAAATTCCCACTGAATTAGAACAATTGTTTATGAACAAAGATATTAAATTCTTATGATTGGGCATTATATTTCAATAGATTTTATAAAAAAGTTGGTTCATCTTTGATTATCCGGTGTATCAGTCTCTGGTTTTAGCCACTAGTCTGAAGCCCAACTTTTCGTAAATTGTGTTTAGGTTACAAAGATCAGCTATTAACAGAGCTGAAAATGCTGCTAAAAATAGTCACTAAACTTATTCCAAAAACTTTCTGAAAGTGTTTTGGCACAGAATGCATGAAACAGTTTTGTAATTGATTCTTGTTGTTCAGGTCTAAATAACAGAGAAAAGCACAAAGAGGATCAGCTGGTGTTTATACCACAGTCCCAAGTCAATTGCCCCTAATACTGTTTGAAGAGAGTGACCTGACTTGGTTGGGCTTAACAATGGTTTTCAAAGTCATACAGAACGTCAGCCTATTGCCAAGGATTACCCCAAGTGGAATAGCTTATAAGCATTTACCAAATTTAACCTACAGCCACGAATACTGTCCCAGCGGATCAAAGAATCCAGAGGGATTTGAAC